CAATCCCTCCCACTGCTCAGCGCCTGAAGCTCAGCTGCACTTAGCCTTGGCTCCCACGCTATTTGCATCACCTGCTTGTTTTTCAGGCACGTGAAACAGCACCAGGTCCTGTCAGGGCCGAGAGAGCCACATGCAGGGAGGGGCCGCTCCTGCCACGTCCTTGGGGCCTGGCCCATCTTGCACCCTAGTCCACAGTCAAGCCCTCTGGTTCTAGCTCATTCTTTCTGCACCTCTTCTTTGTAACATCTACCACAGCGGGCCTTCAGGTGGGGCCCAAGACATAGGACATTTAACTGTCTCAATACGCTCCACAAAAGGCTTAGGGACATCACGCCGTCCCCCCTTCAGTGCTCAGACGGAGCCCGGCAGCCCTCCAGGAGGCAGGAGCTAATAACCAAGCCTGTTCCTTTCTGGATGCAAAGGGGCGCAGGCCGCAGGCCCCAGGATGCAGCTTGCTGCGATTTCTCGGGCAACATGTTCAAGTTTCTGCTACACCCCCACCTCTCCCTTAAACGTAGCCTCTCAAAACAAATCGGCCGCTCGGAAAACTATTTGTAAATCTCTGGAAAATTACACGATTAAAGGGAGTAAGAGCAGCATAAATATTTGCCCAAAAAATAATTATGAAAACAAGTTGTGTTTTTTGGTTTGGGTGTTTGGTCACATAATAACCTCTTCAGGGCTCCACTTGCTCATTTTCTCTGTAATTAGTGTTTGATTTCCTGATGAATGGGCAGGCAACAGTCAGAGAGGAGTCTGTAAACGTAAAGTCAGTTTGAAATATCTGGGAAGGGGAGCAGAGAGTTGGCCACTGGGGGAGTTGGCTTCCGAGACGACACGTTTATTTTCTATGTGGAGAACGCCAAGATCAAAACATGCAAAATCACGACACTTGGAGCAATTAGAATAATGTGGATATTGCAGTCACATGTCATGGCATTTCCAAGGGATGATAATAAACATCTGGAAAATTCTGCAAATACGCAGGCCTTTCCAGATGTAAAGTAAGCCAGCCCAGGTCGCTCCAGCCTCGTAAACGGTACCTGGGCGTCTCCTGATAGCGAGCCTGCAGGGTGGGGTCAAGCCCAAGGAATATGGGGGAGGGTCCGGGCAAGCCCAGAGTCAACAGGCTTATTTCACAGAGGGGACCAAACTTACAGTCCATCCAGAACTATGCTGCCAATTTGGGGGGCTTCTACAGCATGTCAGGGCCTGGGCCTCCGAGTCAGAGGCAGGGCTGACCACTGGCCAGGCTGCTGATGGCCGGCGGTGACGGCAGGACCACCTCCCTAAGCTTTGGTATTCATCTACACAGTGGGCACAGTAACACCCACTTCCAGGTGGTTGGGACCTTAAACCCAAGGGGAAGCACTGCACAAATACCTTATAAAACACAATTGGTAAGCACAGCCGAGTAGCCGAGAGTGAGGACTGAATGTTGGCTTTGCCATTTATTCACTGTGTGACCTTGGAAAAGTTACTTAACCTCTCTGAGCCATTGAAGTAGGCGTCATCAATGAGACTGGGGATGGTAACCCATAATCAAGTCTGACATTGGGATGATAATAAATCGAGTATTTGTGAGGAGTAAATGAACCACCACGGGCAATCGCTTAGAACGGGCGAGGCTAATGTTCTACTAGTGGTGATGATGCCGGTTGTGACTACTCAGTCATCAGAAAAGCAGGGAGTGCGCGGTGGTGGAAGTAAACTGTTACACAGATACCACGCCCTGAACAGGGCTTTGGAAGCTGTGCTGGCAGCTTATGTCAACACCTTGTGTCCACATAAGGCCACCCCACTCCCTCAAAGGTGCTCCATTTAACCCAAGTGATAACGAGCGAAACTGAAGAGGCAGGAACCAACATGCTCAGGAGGGACATGTGACAGCAACCTGGCTGCAGGCGACCGAACCCCTGGCCGTGTGTCCTGAACGCCGTACCCTGCAGCTGGCCTGCTTCCAAAGGCCCAGTTCCAAAAACACAAAAACACAAATTCAAAGAGACATATGTACCCCCAGGTTTATTGTGGTGCTACTTACAACGGGCCTCCCTGGTAGCCAAGGGTTAAGTCTCAGCGCTGTCACTGAAATAGCCCAAGTTCAATCCCCAGCCAGGGAGCTGACCCACAAGGCACGGCAGACCTCTCCTCTCACCTGCTGCTCCCCTCAGCAGTGCATTTCAGTAGATCTGCCTATTCTGCTCCCCACTCTGTCTCTGGTGAATCCTCTCATCCCCTGCTCCTTTGGCCTGCACCCCAGTTCTTCTACCCCCACAAAAAGAACTGGAAACCAACTAAGTGCACATCATTGGAAGAACGAATAAGATGTGGTCCATAGACACGATGGAATACTATTCAGCTATTAAAAAATACGAGACCCCCCATCTCAACAGCTTGGGTGGGACTGGAGGGAATTCCTCGTGAAATGCCAGAAGGAGAAAGACAAACACCACGTGACATCACTCAGCGCGGAGCTCAGAGAAAATGAGCAGCTGAACTAAATAAAACAAAAATAGACTTTTGAACCATAAGACCAATTAGCGGTGGGGTGGGGTAAGTGTGGAAAGAGGGTGGGGTGATGTGGTAGACCTGGACTTTTCACGGGGACCTGCATGTAGCACATACACATGTCGAATCTCAAACTCCTGACACTCCGCTGATGCAATGTTACTCCAGTAAAACTAACCAACAATCTGGCCAGGAAGAACTCACCTCCGGGTGAGTCTACACTGCAGGGCCCAGCTCTTTCTCTTGCAATCGCTCATCCTCTGACATGTTTATTTAAAGAGTGAATCTTCAATAAACGCTGTATTTTACCTTGTGGAGAAAATCAATAGGAAGGAAACTAATGGGCTGTTCTGTCCTTATTCCCAGACACGTTAATAAATGACCCGCTCTCGCGGCACTGACACTGTCACACGGGGAGAAGGCCGCGGGCCCTCGCTGCACGTGCGCGCACACAGCAAAGCAGGTTTCACCTTCCCAGGATTTGTCTCCTAGGCCAGGCTTTCTTCCTCGTCCTTTTCCTCCATAAGGAAACAGCTGGGCAGGATGGGAAAGACATCGCGGTCTCCCAGAGGTGGGATTCCCACAGGCCACACACTCTTAGTTCAATCCCAAATGGGAGACAATCCTGAAAACTGGAAGTCTCCTGTGACTCTCAGGGAGGCACAGCTGCGCTGGACAGACAGGAGTCTGTCCACGTGCCACGCAGAGGGCACAGGGTCCCGTTGGAGGTGGTGCCCCAAGTGCCATCCTGGCCTGGCTCCCCCTGCTGATGACTCCCCCAAGACCCGCAGGCCTCCAACACCCCGAGGCTCCTCAATTCTGAAATATGGTGGCCCTGAGCTTGTCTGATACAGGACTATGGACTGACCTCTAAGAGTTTCTGTTGTTATGTTCCAAACACAACTGCGTGAAAATGACCAGGGAGAAGGATCATTCCAGAACTTTCTTTAACCTGCCTTTTTTAAAAATCAGAATGCGGGCTGAAGCTTCACATAGCTGATCAGGGGTGGGCAATACTCACTCAGGAATCTGGCCCCACGGTCTGTTCACCCCTCAAGTGGCTGCTTTGTGTCTGACACCACATGAGGTACAGAGAAGTGCCCCCGTGGGAAGCACACCTGGGCAGACAGGTGCAGTTCCAGAGCACGGGATGCAGCTCCTGGGAGCTACGCTTTGGAAACCTGGCTGCTCTGGACCCCTGGGATCTGGGTTTAAGTTCCTGCTCTGCTGACATGCACCCGAAGGGGCAGGTCTGCACCCCTGGGGCTTCAGTTTCTTCACTCGTTAAGCTGGGGAGGTTATCACTGACCACCGGGACTATCAGAATGAAATGAAATGAGTGCCTGGTCCACAGAAATATATCTGGGCTGCCGCCCACATGCCGTCCCCTCCCCTGGCTGTGGCACGACAGGAGCAGAGGCTGGCACCACCCTCTTCCACGTGGACAAACTCAGAACACGCAGGCAGGTGTAGTCGTGTGTGTGACCAGGTGGAAGGAAGTGGATCTGGACCCAGGTGCTTGGACAACCTTGAAACCAGAACCTCCATGGAAAACAAATTCACAGCAGCGGGGGAGGGGAAGCGGCCAGGCCAGCTGGCGGCCCGTTGGGGCAGTTGCAAGGATGCCAGGGTGCAGCAGGAGCGAGGCCTCGCTCTCTAGATCTGGCGGAGGGGTCAGGAGAGCCCAAATGCTGATGAACTTCATAGTGTCAAAACCAGGCTTGGGGGGCGGGGCGTGGGTCTTAAAGGGAAAAACCAATAAACAAATGAATGCAGTAAAAGCCCCATTAGAAGAGCATTCCAACCCAGGGCAAAAGCAAGTTTGCTTTCCCTTATCAATTGTAAATTTCCTTTTGTCTGATGGATGGATGGTTGGTCTGGAATGTTCCCAGAGCAGGGCACTGCCCCTCCCTCCCACTACACTAATCCCCTTTTGCTCATCCTCCATCTGCACGACCTTGTAACTCGAAGTATAATCTACCCATGTAACCTAAATTAAACTAACCGAGTATAAAAGGAAACTTTTGTGCATGTTCAGGGCCCAGATCTTCCAGGACAGAATTATCCTCTCTGGGGCCCACTAGTGTGATGACAATAAAACCGGTGCCCACTTGACCTTGGAGAGCTGCTTGGTCCTTTCCAGCCTGGCAAAAACGTTTCCCACGGCAGATCCAGGCCACCACTGCCGTCCGATCGCACCCTCCGCGCACATTCCTAACTCTTATTCTCTGCCCCGCTGCCCAGAAGGCCAGCCCCTGGGGGTCAAGCGTGCCAGGGATTCTGCTCTGCGGTGGAAGTTAAGGTCACTGTCCAGGGGCCGGCTCAGGCTGCGGCTCCAGGCACCGTGCCCCCCATCCTGCCAACAGGACCCCCACGTCACTGATTCATTCCAGAAGCGAACACACCGCAGGGCCCCCCCACCCCGACAGAGACCCCGAAGCAGAGGGCCCGGGCGAGGGTGTAACTGGGCTGGGTGGCGAGGGGACTCCCACCTGGGGCTCTCCCACTCCTGCTCATCCTTGTCCTTCTCGTCCTTGGCGTCCCCGGAGTGAGGGTGCTTCTGCACGATTCGCATCCCACCGGCTTTCACTGCAAAGAAACAGAGGGGTGTGACCACGTGGACACGGAAGCTTGGGGAGCACGGGGGGCTGCGGGACACCCCGGATCACGAGTTGGTCCTGCTAGCCTGGCAGGGACATGGCTGACCGGGGAAGGCACCGTGTGCGAGGGGGTGGCACCAAGCTGCGCTGACACTCCCTCTCCAGATCACCCAGAAACTTCCCAAGGCTGTTGGCTTGTTGTCTTCTTGGTTCCCACTCAAGTATTTCTCCTAAGAGTAGCTGTGTCACGGGCACAGCCCCGCGGGGATGAGGCTGCGTGGGTGAGGCACCTTCAAGCCCAGGCCCCCTGGACCTTTGCCCTGAGATCGGACGACGCAGTCCCAGGCGGCCAGGACACAGCCCGCTCCAGGTGCCCGATGCCCGAGAAAGCCCTTTCCGGACGGTGTCCCGTGAAACGGCCTCGTCACATCAGCCTCACACGAGCACCGCCACGGCCCGTCCCCCCACAGCGCCTCGCCTCCTTCCACGGCCACGCCACCCGCGTCTCCCCCAGCTCCCGCACCCGCACCCGCCGTCTCCGGGCACGTGACAGCCACAGTCACAGATGACCGTCCTCGTCTTGTAGAAAAGGAAGCGGAAGCTCAGAGCTAAATGCCGGGCCAGGCCGGGCCACCCCAGGTCTTCGGGCCCTGGCCCCGGTGCTTGTTCCCGGGCGCCTGTGGGGCCCGCAGCTCCTCCCTGACTGCCCCTGCTGGGGACAGCTGCCCTGCGCCCCCCCCCCCCCCCCCCCCCCGCTCACCCCTTTCTTAAGCCCACGTTCAGGTCCAGCAGGATTCCGTCCGTCTTTGGAATCCGTGCTGCCCTCCTGCGCGCTCGGGAAGGAGCGCCTCCGCCAGCCGCTCGTGGGCCGCCTTGGAAAAGGCCGGCGCAGCTGCTGCTGAGGGCGGACAGCTGGAACACGCGAGGTTCGCCGTTTAGCCTCTCGTAACACACACGCGTCACGCTGGCTTAGGCTGACGTGAAATGCCCTTTACACGGTTTGCACGGAAACAGCCCATCCCCATCGAGGCAGCAGCTGTTGGATGTGACCTAACTTCCTCCACGGCTTTTTCTTTGAAAATTCGAAGCTCCCTGTGTGCCTCTGTGTTAAGATCGCTGTTCTTCCTTCCTACTCCTCGTCACCTTGTTTTGAATAAGCTACCCTTTGGGGGAAAACTGGTGGCTTCTGGTGACTTCGTCCACTTGGCATGCTTTCAAGGCTTAGCCAGCTAGGAGCATGGGCCAGGCCTGGCTTCCTTTATGGCTGAGACCCTGCGCAGACAAGCCCGCTTCCACCGTCCACTCACCCGCTGACCGGGTCCACGTTCAGCCTGTGTGGACCACGCAGTCGCCAGGACTGGGTGCAGGCCTGAGGGCAGACGTGCTCTGCTCCTTAGAGTCATACCAGGACAGGAGCCACCGAGTCACCTACAATAGTAGCTCTAGGCTTACCCTTTGAGCAAATGCTACACACGGCACCATTTTACATTCTCACCCGCAAGGATTCCCACAGAGCTGTGCGCGCCCACACTGACCCGCTCTGCAGCTGCTGTCCTGCCAGGGTGTGAACTGGCATCTTGCTGTAGTCTGACCTGCATTTCCTATGGCTAACATGCTAATCATTTTACCAAACAAAAAATTTAAAAATTGGGATTTTAGGATCTACTAAGTGTGGGAAATGAATGAGATTAAATGGGTCTCCTTGGGACAGACCGTCCTGCTGTTCATGAGCATTGTGAAGCTTCCTGAGGGTGGTGAGCTTGCTGTCTGTCCCGACTCTACTTGACCACAGAATTTTGTTGGGGAGGCAGTTATGATGGTCATCGTCTGTTAGACACTAGTGTTCCGTGGAAGAGTTTAGAAATGCCGCCCCAAAGCCAGCCACGCAAGGCGGCCACCAGCAGGTGCTCCAGGGTCAGCAGCTCCGCCACATCCACAGGGTGGTGGCTTCAGACTAGCTATTCCCCAAGGCCTGGCGGCCTCTTCTGTGGGAAGGGACAGGGCCATGTGCTAAGATGCAGAAGCTGAAATTTCAGCCTGTTGAAATCTAACCCCCAAAAGATGGCATCAGGAGCTGTGTTGTTGGGGGTGACTAGGACACGAGGCTGGGGCCCTGGGATGAGATCCGTGCCCTTATAAGAGGCCCCAGAGAGCTCCCTCACCCTCCCACCACGTGCAGACACAGAGGAGACAGGGTCTATGAGCCAGGAGGCTGGACCTCACCCGACATGGCCTCTGCGGGTGCCCTGAACTTGCACTCCAGCCCCCCAGGCTGTATCTAGAGCAGCATCCAAGCAGACCAGGCAGGGGCGCTTGGGGCTGGGGGTCAAGGCACAGCCCAGCACTTGCCATGGTGCCCACAGTGGCTAGGGTGGGGTGTGGGGCTCCCGAGCCTTGGCCTCAGAGCATCCTGCCACGGCCTGACTTGGACCCCATAGCACAGTGTCCATTGACATTTCAAATAAGGCTGGATCCCGCGGGAACAAGTTTATGATGCTGGAGAGCAAGGAGGAGAATGCAAAGCCCCTCAGGCTCACACTCTTGGACTTTTTCAGTGTCCCATCTCCTGGGACATGCCCGGAGGCTGACCACGGCCAGAAGAAGGGGGCAGCGTCCCTCAGGAAGGTGCAAAGCAGGGGGCAGCGGCGGGAGGGTGTGGCGCCCTGCAGGTCTGGGCCTGACTCCCGCCCCTGCCGCCTCTTCTCCAGAGGGAGGGGCCGTGGGGAAGGAGGAAACTCAGCCTGCGCAGGAACCTCTCAAAATCTGCTTCCCCCAAAGTAATTCGCAACCTATTACAGCAGCTGGAAATCCACTTCCCTCGGCGCGAGTAATAACTGTGGGACACCCTCTCGTGTTGGCGCCCGGGGTGGGGGGTGGGGGGCTTTCTCCACCTGGGGGTTGGAAAAAAATGCTGCTTTTTGAAATCCCATCTGCTGCTTTCTCTCGCAATCATTTTGATTTTCATTTTTAGAGCTTTTTCTTTTCCCCTCAGATTCATCTGGTCTTGGACAGGGTCTGATTCATCTCTTGTGTTTTTAATCTCTTACATGTTCCATTTTAGGCAAGCTCGCCTCGCAGTTGTTGATCCAATTATTGCCCGAGCTGAGCTTTGCTCTGCTGACCCTGGCTGCTATTTGGGGTGCCGGTGGGTTGGGAACTTGTCTACATCAGGGCTGGATCTGTGGGGACCCTCAGGGGCCGGCACCTTTCTGGAGAGCTGCTGTCCACACTCCCTTCGTCATCAGATTCCTCAGAACAGGAGCGGCCAGTGTCACTTTGAGCTCCCAGCCTGCAAAAGCTCAAGGCCCTTTCCCTGCCCGCGGCTCAGGCTGCACCCTGGGCTTCCTTGCTGCCCCTTGGTGCCACCGGCACCTTCCTGCTTCCACCCTCTCTCCTGGCGGGGGGCACCCAGCTTCAGGCTGGGGCTTGGGGTTGAATGGGGTGACTAGGTGGGCCCTGACAGGAAGAGGCCGACTAGAGGGCTCCTGACTCAGAGGCCTCAATCCGGCTGTTCTCGATTTCACTTTCTTCTTTGGGTGTGGTTTCTAGGGGTTTCCTTCACTTTGGCTTAGATTTAAAAAGAAAGCATAAAAAACCCAAAATGTCTGCAGGCAGTTTATCAAGATTTCCCAGGTTAGAGTTTGCCAAACCTTAAGAAATGGAGACTGAAAATAAAATTCTGCAGTATGTTTTCCCCATTCTCTGGAAACGTAAAATTAGAGTCATGAATGTTTTGGGCTAAAGGAGGAAGCTGGAATTGTTCCATTCAATGTTTTACTACAATTCATTTTCCTCCTCCATCGAGCCCCCCACCCCGCTGGAACAGATTCTGATGCTGAAGTCCAACCCCGTCACCTCAGCCTGCGACTCCGGGCTGAGATGCGCCCCTAGAGGGTAAGCTAAACCGACTCTGCAGGGATGGGGCCTCATCCAGCACGACCGGCGTCTGGAAAAGGAGCCATCGGGGAGGGTGACCAGGGGAGACCCTGCAGGGTGACAGGGAGGGGCAGGCCTGGGCACAGCAGAGGCCACAGAGAGGCCAGAGCGGCCGGCGCCACCTGGACAGGGGCCTCCAGAACTGGAGACGTTCCCCTTCTGTTGTTCAAGCCCTGGTTGTTACAGCAACTTGAACAAACTAACGCAGGCACCCACTTTAAAACGCTCCCCCCTTTCCGACATGGCAGACACGAAACTGTGACACGGTGACTCACAGATGGAGCCTGTCCACCGGCAGAAGGCGAAAGGGCCGTGCCACAGCCACAGAAATGACGTGACCGCGAAGGCGAGGCCGGAGGGTCACGTCTGCGGCTGGGGCGGCCTGTTCACCTCCACAGGGGCCCCACGAGCCTCGTCGCCCGCCCGAGAACTCGCTCAATGAGAGACACAATTAACTTTGTCGGTCCCTCATCCGGGGTGAGGGCAGCGACGGCCGGGGCAGTGACCGCAACTCTGGCCGGGGCAGCTGCGTGTGAACTCGCGATAAAAGCGACGCCGGCGCGGATTTGTCCTGACCCTTTTCCTGCTGCCACTGAGCCCTCCGCGAAAGGGTTCTATTGGCAGAATGATTTGCAAACATAGCATTTTTATGAAATGTTAGAAATAAAGGCCTGGGGTTATTGTGGCAGTGACTGTGGCAGTGTTTAAATGAGAGCATCATGTGAGTGACAAGCTTCCCCTTCACCCTAGTGTGCGCAGAGGTTAAAGAGCACAGGCCCGGAGCTCGGGGTTCAAAGCCCAGCTGCACAAACACGTACACACACGTGTGTAGTTGTATCTCTGGGCTATGTGTGTCTGGCTGTGTCTGTGTGTGTCCGTGTCTCCTGTTACGCATGTACATTGCTCTGTGTGTGTGTGTGCGCACGTGTCTGGCTGTGTCTATGTGTGTGACTGTGTCTACACGCATGTGACTGTGTGTGACACTGTGCAGGACTGTGTGTGCATGTCTGGACAAACTGTAGATGCTCTCTGTGCCTCAGGCCCTGCATCCTGCAGAAATGGTGCCCACCGCCCTGGCCGAGGACTGCGTGACGCAGCACCGTGAGGCCCTCCCCGCATGTGCTCACCCGCCAGCTACTCTCACGCAGCGGGTTTTCAAAGCCAGCGTCGCATCCTCAGACCCGTAGGGTGTCCTTGTGCTTCACACCTCGCCGCATGTGCACGGGTGTCAGGCTCACGCCTGTGTGGCCAAGGAGCAAGCCCCCTTGAGGAGCTGCCGCCGCGGTGCCCGCTGATGTGCTCGGCTCAACCCCACCACATCTAAGTTAGGGAGCTTCTCGAGAATCACAGACCCTCCAGCTTTGCTGCCCCTTCCAACCCCTGGCTACGCGTCCCCCCCTTTATGGAGCCCCACACGCCAGCGCCCTTCACCACATCGGCAGCCTGTCCTTGCATGCGCCTCCCAGGAGACCGAGCCCCCTCGCCGGGCAGGGACACAAGTGCCAGCCAAGGGCGGGCTGGGGCTGCGAGCCCGATGCCGGGGGAGAACCGCGAGGATGAGGTGCTCTTCCCAGGGCAGCAGAGTCGCAGCAGGCGGGAGACTCGACCAGCTTCAGCGATGCAGGAAGGACTGAGGAACATGAGCAGCCTCTGGAGGCAGGAAAAGCCAAATCACGCTGCTCCCAAGAATCCCCCCAGAGGGAGCCGACCCCGCAAGTTCCTGACTTTGTCCCGTGAGGCCCTCGGGACTTCCCACCTGCTGCGGCCTAGGGAACGAAACGGTGTTGCCTCAAGCTACTAAGTTGGTCTGACTTTGCTACAGTGGCCACCGGAAGCTGAGGCAGGGACAGGCCACTGCGCTGTCCCGACACTCCCCGGAGCCCATGCGCAGGCCGGTGCTGAGGCTGCAGGGGGCTCCTGGCAGAGAAATGAACCCCCATGGGTAGAGATGGGGCGCCTGTTACAATAGTAACCCTGTGCTCCCAGTGCAACTGTAACTCATCCCCATACGCTCTGCCCACAACAGAAACACGGTACCTACACCCCAGCTACACCCCAGCTACACCCCAGCGAATATTCCCCGCACAGCTGCGATTACCGAGGTTGGGCAGGGGTGAGTGCACAGGGCACAGCTGAAATGAAAAGGGCAGGAAGAGGCCCCAAGTCTGAGACCAAAGCGAAATGCAAACCACCACCTAGACCCGCTCCGGCCCATCCTGACTGGGGCGTCTGCAACGCTGCAGTGGCTGAAAGGGCGCCCACAAGAGCCAAGCAGGCGCCCTCCTGGGCTCCGCGGGCAGCGATGGGGCTGAGGACACGGGGCTGAGCTGACCCATGTCAGCAGGTCAGTGCAATGAAAGACAAACCAGAGCAACCGAGGCCCGGGTCCTCTGAAACCTTCCTGTGAAAGAGAATTCGGGGAGTGCTCTCACCGCCACCTTCAAAACGCGTCCTTAACGCACGTCTGACTGATGAACCTAACAGAACATTGAATTACTTTGAAGTTACCGAAAAAGAACAAAGTAGCTTATTCCCCACTTCACTGTAAGTAAATACAATCATGCTCGTATTTCCACATGGCTCTGGTCTAGAGGGGAGACACTTTTCTTTTTTTAAAAGAATTTTTTTTAAGATTTATTTATTATTTATACAAGATCCCAGGTACAGACCAGATGCGCAGGAGGGTGAGGGGATTCACCTGAGCCAGAGCGGGGAACAGAACAGGCAGACTGATGAGATACGCTGCTGAGGGGAGCAGCAGGCGCGGCGGGAGAGGTCTGCGCGCCATGTGGGACCCTCGCCGGCCGGCCGGGATCAAACTGGTGCTGCAGAGGCTGCGGGCAGCTTCACAGCCCAGCGCTCAACCACCTGCGCCACCAGGGGAGGCCCAGGGGGCACTTTTCAAAGAAAACCATGTGTAAAACCAGGAGCGCTCAAAGCTGCTCAGAGCGCTCACCTCTGAGATTTATGACAACGTGACTGACATGGTTTTGGCTCCGGGGGGAGGGGAATGTGCCCAGCAAAGTGTGCGGAACAGAGATTTTATCCACGGCACGGCCACGAACTCACAGACAGCAGAGATTAGCCACTGGGGCTTGTAATTACGTCCTCTTGCTGTGTCTGATGAAGACAGAGCCTCGCTCACTCTAACGCTGCTCATCTGTACCAGCGATTGCTTCCACGACACGCAGCCTCACCCTGTTTCTGCGCAGAGGCCCACAAAGACAGATGTAGGGGAGCAAAAATGTGCCCCGCAAAAGATGTCTTTTTGGTAAAAAGGTGTTATTTCATGGGAGGGGCTCTGAAGACTGGGTGGAGGATGGGTTTGAAAAGCTATTTTTACAAGTAAACTTCTCTGGAAGGGCCTGTACCAGGAAGACCCAATCTGATTTCAAGACCCACATGGCACAGCCGACCTCTCCTGCCTCACCCGCGGAAACCCTCAGCAGTGGATTTCAGTAGACCCACCTGTTCTGCCCCCTACTCTGTCTCTGGTGAATCCTCTCACCCCCCACACCTCTGGCCTGTACCCTGGCTCTTGTATGCATAAATAATTCTTTTTAAAAAAATCAAAGCAGAAGGCAGGATGGAGGCGGCGTCTTTGTCTCTGGTGTCCCCTGGTGACCTCCCCAGCTGACCGTCCCAGCGGACCTCCCCCTGCCTCCCCCTCACCTTC